CATCCACTCTGGCTGCTCACTTCCATGCCCAGGATGCCCCTGCTCTGCTCCCAGGCTGCATCTTTGTGGAGTCCAGATAAACCCAGTGAGCAAACAGATTTGGTACAATAAATGTTTACAGATTAATTTTAACTGGAACAGTTTCCTGATGGAGTTCACTGCGTGCAGGTATGTGAACAAGTCTGTCAGCTCAAGAGCAGTACTGGAATGGGATTGCTTTTATCTGCAGCAGCAAGGCCTTATTGAAGTTCAGTGTGATTGTTGACCTGTGGGATGTATTTCCATGCTCCTTGGTTGTTGCTCTGACTGTCAAACCACTCTTCCTGGGAGGAAGCTGTGATGGCTGCTGGTCACAGCGCAGGGATGGAGGGGATAGCCATGCTGTGGTGGCTGCATGTGGAGACTGGTGCTGGTCCCACCACGGAGTTCTTCAGTGTGGTTATGAAAAACAAAATGATGTCCACATATGTACTCTGAATGATGGACTCCGTTAATGACATTTGTTTTCACAGGAGAACTCCTGTGAGGGTCTGAGCTTTGCTTGTGGCTGTTGTTAGTCAGAAAAAGAGTAGGAAAGTTTGGAGAAGAGTAGTAGGAAGATCAGCAGAGGCTGGTAGACGCACAAGAACAGGGAACTGTGAATATGGAGGCAGTATGGGATGTCTGGGTGTTGCAACAGGAAGAGATTGGGGCGGTTATAAATAAAAAGTGACATTGTGTTCAGGCCTGTGAAAGAGAAAACAAAACTTTAGGGAGAAAGTGGAGGGATTGAAGGGGAGGGGAAACTGTTCGGTGGAGTAAGAGTGTAAAAGGAAAGGAACTGGCAAATACAGAGAAGCATTTCTGTAGAAGATTTATTAATAAGAGACAATAAGAATCCTTTAAACAAGAATACAGATGGAGCAGGGGAACAATTGCGCTAGCTGAAAACGTAGCTGATCTCGGATGAAGCTCGTGCTGTGCCAGTGTAGCTCCTCTCGGAGAGTAGGAGGATTGCTGGCCTGTGATTGCTTTATGAACTTTTTCCCAGCACTGTGCACTCCAGCAGCTGCAGCCTTTGCTGCTCCTGGTCCTGCTCCCATGGCTGCATCACTCTCACACCACCCCAGATCGTCACTAAGGTGCCTCCAGACTCACCGTACCCCCTCCTTCCTCCCTGTCTGCTTGAGCACAGGAGGGTCACCTTTGGAGAGAGCCGTGTCTGCCTGGCCAGGGGAAAGCCCTGCCCAGCGCCTGGCAGGTCCCCAGAGCTGCCCCAGCTCTCTTCTCCATGCAGGGCAGGCGGGCAATGCAGCTGAGCATCCCCACCGTGCTGTGGCTGCAGCGCCGGGCATCTCCGGGCTTGCCTTTCTTTGCAGGACTGGGTTAGACTCTGCTAGCCTAGAGCGGTTGGAATAAATGCCTCCTGTACTGAGCCTGAAACTCGAGAATTGTGGAGCAGTTGTGTTAATGAGGATGTGAGAAATACTGTCTGATTTTCAAATTTTGTACTAAACAGCATGAATGAGAAATCTGGAGTTGGTAATAGTTTCTTTTTTTTCTGTAGCAGGATTCAATCTGTTCTCTTGGGGTAAGAAAATTAAGGACGGAATTATCTTTTAAATTTAGTGTTACCATAGTTTTACATACTCAGCGTGCTTGTGTTTTAAAGTTTCTGACAAAATTCAAACTTTGCTAACTCTACAAGGAGATGGACTAGTTTTTGAAACCCAGAGTTGACAACATCGGTTCTTAATCAGTAACACCCACTTAGAGATTGTTACTCATTAGTGGGCTTGGTTGTTTAGACAATTGTGATTTAATCTCCTGTTAGAGGAAGAAAGAAAATGTCTAATTGAAAACACTCCAGTGTAGAATCAAGGTTTGTCATATGAATTTATGGTCAAATGTGAAAGTGGAGCTATTACTTCTCTCTCTCTCTCTCTCTGCAGCCTCACTGCGCTGGAGTATCAGTGTATCTTAGCAGTTTTGTGCCACAGAACAAGAAACTGCTGCCTCACTGTTGTTTCAGGGTTTGTGTTCATTTTGGTGTCCTAGCTTTGGTTTCTAAGGTTTTTAAGGTCTCCAGCAATCTCTGCTCCACTGGCATGGTTGTAAATGGCCAGGTAGTAATCCATGGTATGTATGTTTTGCCCCTACTACGTGTGGAGACCTCATCAGCTTTTGAGGGCCTGGTACAGTTTTGTGCAGAAGGCTGCAATGCCCGCAAGTCCAGCATGTCCCAGCTTCTCTCCTTCTTCGTTGTTACCAGATGCTGGTGATAATGGCAGGAGGAAATTAGTGTCCCTCAAATGGGATCGTGTGGTGGGATTGTAGGCTGTGTGTGTGTGGCACAGGTGAATTAGGGAGGAGGAAGAGCATGCGTTTTGGGAAGGTTGTAAAGGTTTGTATGGTTGGGGGTTGTAAAGGCTTGTGTGGATGTGCTAGGGTCCATCAGAAGGTGCCTTCTCAGAAATGATGCAGGTAGATGTTTCCAGCATGAGACAGCCCACAAAGAGCAGTGCAGCAGAGCAGGGCCCCTGAGGCAGGTGCTCAGGGTTGTGCAGGGCGCTGGTGGGGAAGGAACTGGAGAATTAGCCCAGATTACTCCCATTCTTGCAGCCACACAGCTACAGCTGCGCCCTCCACTCCTGGCATACTGCCTGCCATGGGCAGTGTCTGTAGGCACTAAGCTGGCGTTTCTCTGCTATCAGCCATTTGGCTTTCTGGTGTGGGAGCTGGCTTATTAAGCTGCATCACTTCTCTCGGCTTCACTGCACGTAGTCCTAGACCTGGGAAGGGTTATACATGGCATGCAAAGATGTGTACAGCTTCAGGGGAGCATGAGCCGGAAAGGGGATCATCTCTTTGTTCACTGAAAAGGGGTACAGTTCTCTTCCTACTTTCACGTTTAACCTAGGCTAGTCACTAGGATCCGTTCCCCAAGGGCTGCAATGGGAGGAGTGTGGCTACTCGCTGGAAGCAGGCTAGAGACTGCAATACATGATTTTTTCCCCCCCTCTGTATTAAATGAGCTAGAAACCCATAAGCTAATTCTCTTGTAAAAATAGTATTTACTCTCTATCCTAGACTGCAAGACGATGTATGACTTTATTTTATGAGGTGATAAACTGTAAACTGACTACACTTCTGGTTTAAATCCAATCAGAAACTCAATAAAACTAGATAATAGTTTAAATGTCATGTCGTGTTAGTTACTAATATTAGTTTGTAAAGAAACTCTCTTATTGTCTTTTGTTGTTACAGAATTAGAGGTATGGATCTTTGGCATCTGCTGTTTACTTTGGCACTGGTCTGTGCAAATGACTCACTTTCTGCAAGTGATGGTAAGTTTTATGATACCTTGCTGTACCTTTGTGTATGTGTACATATAGATACAGCTCTGTATGAAGAGTATTTTTATATGTGTCAGGACTACGCAAGTTCCTTCATTGCAGTAATCTGGGTGCCTAATGTGAAATGTGAAAAATACATCAGTTAATCTTGTTGTAAAGATAGTGGATGAGATTGAGACAACATGTTGCAGAATGAAGGTGAATTTCATAGACAGTGTTAGATGTGTGATATGTAAACAGGCTGGATCAATATTGGTGTTAGATATCTGGATTTTTGTTGCTCAGGTACTAAGTTATGAAAGAATTTTATGGGGTTAATTTTTTTGTAGAAATTAGTGGGGTTTTTTCTGTAACGTACGAGTATACTAAAAAGATTTGTTAAGTGTAGAACTATTTGGAAGTGCAGAGGAAGCATTTTAAGACTGTACACTTTGGGTCTGAAGCCAGTATGAACAAGTTTCACAAGAAATACACTTAGAAATTCTCGAGTAGAGGTTATAAAAGGGGTTTTAAAAGAACATGTACCCTTGACCAGCCAGCTGGCTGTGGGTAGCCACCAGAAGCCTTTTGAGTGAGGAGAAGCTCTGAATGCATATCCTGTGGTGTTCATGAGTCAACAGATGTGCCCAGGGTTCACATCCACTGAATGTACCTGTGACTTTCCACAGTTCTTCTCCCTCCCATCCTTACTCATCTCAATTCTTCCATCTTCTGAGTTAAATGCAGGGCTGGAAAGTACTTGGTCCAGCTGAGCTTTCTCTGATGCTTTTTCTTGTTGCAGCCAACAGTGATTTAGAACCATTTCCGTATCGCCTAGAGGCCTGTCCTGACTCTCATGGGTCCTCTGGGATTGGTCTTTTACTCATTTAGAACAAAAAATTCCCAGTAACTCCAGTGGGAGTTTTAGTTGTGTCAGACTGATATGCTTACGCTGGTTGTGTTCCACTCTTGTAAACAAATGTGGCTTCACCGGGTCTGCTCTGTCTTGTTCTGGCCTTTGGAATGATCAGTAACAGTATTCCATAATTGCAAAATTTATGCAAATGTGTTGCCACTTCTCCCAGCATTACGGAGTGGCTGCAGAGGGGTGGCTCCTTAAGCAGGTGCCCCTCCTGACCTCCTAGCCAAAATCAGTGTAAGCAGAGAGTTAGAGAGGGCAGTTTGATGGGTAATTTTAGAAAAAGTAGAGTGGAAACAAACTGTAAATAAACTGACAGCATTTTCAATGAAAATTTCTGACATGTCTCAATTTCTGTATTTTTTTCTCTTTAGCTCCATACTTAGATGTTGCTGAATGCAAAATACCTGTGGAGTTGCAACCCATGTTTCATTAGCTTTTCTAGTTTAGTTTTAGAATATGGTACTAAACCAAAGGGTTATGGTATAGTTGCCTGTCATCGTAACTGTCCTACAGTTGAGAGGTATAATCAACCTCCTTCAACCTGATACAGTTCTGTATTTTCTTGGAGTTGCATACTTAAAATTTCTAGATATCCATATTTGCAGAAGCACTGGAGAGATATAAGGGGTATTACTTGGTTGTTAATGGAGACATTAAGGTGAAAAAAGATACAATTAGAATTCAAATGATCAGTTTTCAGAGAATTCTTCCATAAAGTTAATTTTGTTTGTTAAAAAAGGGGGTTGGATAGGGAAAACACAGGCTTCTGTTTATTTCCTTCCATGTGTGTGGCTCAGATGCTCGTCCTCTGTGTTACTAGGAAGAGAATCTCTTCTCCCTTGCTAGTTAAAGCACTTTTTTTAACATTTACCCAATTTGGTTTGAGTTCCTAGCATATCTGACCATTGAAGGCGATGAATGAATCAAGTTTTCACTTTTGTTTCCTACTTTAATTTCCTGCTTGCAGCAGTGCTTTCATTCTGCTACCTGCATGTCCCATAAGAAATGGGTGCACCTATATAAGAAGTGTGTAAGGAAGTGTGGGGCACTTGTGTTTATTTTCATATTAGAATTGGGCTGAAAGAATGTGGGGCCTTTATTTAATATGTTTTGAATCTTTCTGCCTTCTGTTATGGTTAAAAGAAGAGGAAATTTCTGACAGGAATTTGCAGAATAAAGCTGTATACTCATTTTTCCCTCTTTGTGTACCAATCTCTTTAGTTAGACCTAAGAACAGAAATAAAATTTGCAAATTCCTCTTTGATTCTGCTGAAATGTGGAAAGCCAGTATTTCACAGTGAAATATGATACAAGTACCAGCTTCTATTCATTGCCTCTTACAGAATGGTCAGTGGAACAAAAATGAATGTGTCCTGACTTGATCCTTCCCCCCCCGGTGTTTGCATTTTACAGTACATTCATTCAATAGACAAACATAAACCCTGCCCAGATGCAGTTTACTGGACCAATTGATTTCTCTCTGAAGGTTTAAGAGTACGTGAGGATTTTTTGATCCTTGGCAGATGAGGTCTTGTCCAGATGTCCTAAGTTCAATAAAAACCTGTGTTATGAGTAAAACTTAACCACAACATCACCTTTGTGTGACTTTGTCTATACTGATGAAATAGTAACTTCCAAGAGTTTACCTTCAGAATCAAAATATGAAGAACATTTGAATAGTGTTCCTATGCTTACATCCAAGATACAATACTAAAAATATATGTCCTGATTTGATGAATTAATTATTGAAGAAGTGTGTGTGTGAAGGGAACAGAGCTTTGTTGTCCTGAGAATAAGCTTCTAACCACTGAACTACTTCTAATGCTGTAGCACAATTAGTCATAGTAGGGGAAATGCTCAGCTAAGAAAGTCAGACAAGAAAGTATAAGTTGAACAGGAATATTTGTGAAAAGAGCATGAGAGATCATCCATTTGCCATTCTTTCATGGTTTAGGACAGAGTATTAGATGGGATCTGTTTTAATTAGCTGTTTTGTTCTGTTTTTGCCCCGTGTGAATGTGCTTCACAGAATCACAGAGTGTTAGGGGTTGGAAGGGACCTCTGTGGATCATCTGGTCCAACCACCCTGCTAAAGCAGGGTCACCTAGAGCAGGTTTCACAGGACCTCGTCCAGGTGGGTCTTGAATATCTCCAGAGAAGGAAAATCCGCAACCCCTCTGGGCAGCCTGTTCCAGTGCTCTGTCACCCTCAGAGTGAAGAAGTTCTTCCTCATGTTCAGCTGGAACTTCCTGTGCTTCAGTTTGTGCCCATTGCCCCTTGTCCTGTCACTGGGTACCACTGAAAAGAGTCTGGCCCCATCCTCTTGACACCCACCCTTAAGGTATTTGTAGGCATTTATAAGATCCCCTTCCAGCGTTCTCTTCTTCAGGCTATACAAGCCCAGCTCCTTCAGCCTGTCCTTTGCTTTTATCCGCAAAAGTTCTTGTGAGCACCAACCCCACTCAGATGGTGTGACAATCTTGTAGAGCTCTGCCCAGCACGGTCTTGCTGAGGCCTTCCTATAAACTTACTTAGATGTGCTCAATGTCTGTACCATATGTGGTACATTGCCTGAGGGACTGGCTCTACAGTGTCATGGTTCCCTAAAAAATCCACTTCAGTAATTGTGTTTATTCTGGCAATACATTAAAAAATTACACATACTTGCTAATCTTGCACCAAAGCATGTTACTGAGACAGTGTAATATTGACTTGTACATGGAAGGCTTTTATGTCTTTAAAGTAAGTGAAGCTTACGTTCAGCCTTACAAGAGCCTGTGCTTCGGGCTGGCTCCGTGCCGTGAGGCCAGATCCACCCTTGGCACATGGTGGTATCCCATACGTGTTTTCTCCTGGCTGGAGAGGGTGTGAGGCCAGCAGTTGGCCAGGCAACTGCACTGCATTCGAGACCAATATTGAACATTTAGTCACCCATTTGCTGTCTCCAGGCTGGTGCCAAGTTCTGCTGGAGGCTTTCCATTGATTTAGTTCATTTTCATGCTTTCCTTTTGCAAAGACCTTGGCCTGCTGTCTCCTTAAACTGAGGCGGTGGCTAGTGTGAAGTGACAGGGGTGCCCACCATCTTGAGGTGACGATGCAAAGTGTGACCAAGCATGTCTGCTGCACCAGGTCTTCGAGTGTAGTTCAGAGCTGAGAAGGTCTGGGACTTGGAGCCTCCAACTACGTGACACTGACCCACACGCTGTGCATGTCCTCAAGGTGCCTGCCACACGACAGTAAGGGCAGAACAGAGGCAGTGGTAGGAAGAAAGTATAAAGGCAACAATAACATGAAGGTAATTTCTGATAGGTGTTTAATTTCCATAGGTAAATAGGTTTTGTGCCCTAGGGCTTGGAAAACGTAAGGCACATATTCACAGCTAATGAAAACATTTTTGTTAAGTCAACAGAAATTATGCTTCTAGGAGTTTAGGTTGCTTTGAAGGTGGGGAATTGATTTTGAAAGTCTAGTTTAATGTAGTTAATTAGGTACATGAACAAGAAAGAGTACTGCTTCAGGATTGGATCACCTACATCTGTGCAATATTAGTTGTCGTTCAAGAAAAAAGTAAGAACTTATATTCATATACACACTTAATTTGTGTTTGAGATATTTACATTAATGTAACTGTGGTGTTTCAAATATATATCCAGAATACACCTGGGTGTTTCGGTTTACTATACCTGCTGACATCAGAAGTGGTTGAGGCGATTTGCTCCAGACACAGATTGCAAAATGCTCAGGAAGCAAAATAAATTTTGTCTGCTTGTTCCTTCTGTACAACTGATGAGTGTAGGTCACCTAAGGACATAGAGGAATAAACTGGGAATTAGTCCCAGTTAATAAAACAATACATAAACTCAAGCAGTTCCAAACCTAATTTCTTCTCAGTGGAAAGAAGTGGGAAATGTTTTTTATCATTTTTTATACTGGATCAAAGTTCGTTCCAGACTGTTACAGCTATGCTAATTCATCCTCTGAAGCAGGTTTAAAGGCATTCATATTTAATGATAGCACAATAAAAATATTTTTGAGTGAACTGTTTTTGTACAATGATAATTTTGAGAACTACAAGACTGAATTTATTGTT